GCGGAAAATGAGGTGTTGTTCTTCCAGCTTGCGTTGAGCTTTGCTGGAACAGTGCAGAAAGCCAGAGACAGAGATGTTGGCCAGGGAGCAGGGTGTTTGTTAAAGTGGCAGGCAACTGGAAGCTCAGGGTCTTTTTTGCGAGCAGAACGTAGATGTTCTGCGAAGCGGTCACCCAGTCTATGCTTCGTTTCCCCAATGTAGACACCACATTGTGAGCAGCGAATGCAGTAGACTAGATTCTGGGAAGTGCAGGTGATGTGTTGCTTCACCTGGAAGGTATGTTTGGGCCCTTGGATACAGGGGAGGGAGGAGGTAAATGGACAGGAATTGCACCTTCGCCAGTTACAGGGGAAGGTGCCGGAGGACTGTGGGTGTTTGTTGGGAATGAAGGAAGAGTGGGTTATGGTGTCCCAGAGGGAATGGTCCCTGTGGAAGGCAGACGAGGGAGGGGAGGGGAATATGTGTCTGGTGGTGGCATCTCAATGGAGGTGGCGGAAATAACGTCTGATGATCTTCTGGATGTGGATGCTGGTGTGACAGTAGGTAAGGACAAGGGGAACCCTATTGCTGCTGCAGGAGGGAAGAGAAGGGGTGAGCACGGAAGTGTGGGAGATGGGTCAGACCCAGTTGAGGCCCCTATCGACAACGGAGCTGGGAAATCCTCGGTTGAGGAAGAAGGTGGACATTTCAGAGGCTCCCTTGTGAAAGTTGTCCTCATCCAAACATATGTGATGGAGACGGAGGAACTGAGAGAATGGGATGGAGTCTTTACAGGAAGCAGGGTGTGAGGATGTATAGTCAGGTAGCTGCGGGAGTCAGTGGGTTTATAGTGCATGTTAGTTTCCAGTCCATAGTTGTCCTTTAGTACTATAATGCACGGGTAAATTATTTTTTCTGGTTGCTGGTTTATTAATAATTCCCATATGTGAAATAATTAGCTAATCTCAAACATAATTAAATTAGTTGGTTGCTTTGTTATGAATCTGGTGGTGGCTGAGAGGGTAACTCCGTTTTGCCTTTGAATCAGATGGCTGTGTGTTCAAGTTTCACACCAGAATTTTAAGTACAATGAAAGCCCAGGCTAATGCTCCAACTGAGGGACTGTTTCACTGTCAGACGTGTCATCATATGGACAAGATGTTAGACTAATGCCTTCTCTGGTGGATTAAATGATCCAAAGATTAAATAAAGAGTAGTTTTCCCAGTACAATGCTTATCCCTCAAACAACAAATTGTGCGACTTCTATCACATTGCTGTTTGTGGGAAGCTGCCGTGTGGAAATTGGCTGCCGTATTGGAATAATGACTACACCTCAAAGGTATTTCATTGGCTGAAAAGCAATTCAGGATTTTTCATTGTGATTAGGATATGCTTAAATGAAAGTCCATTTGTCAGACTGAGGGAGGAGATGGATCAGATATACAAAAGTATAAAACTTGCACATTGGAATATTTGCATAAGGGCATTTAAATAAAGATATGGATGGTGAATTGTACTCCATGGTCCACCACTGCACCATTGTTTCATATGATAAAAAGCTGTTTTATTCCACCAAAGAAACATGACTTGTAAATAATAAACCTGGGTGATCACTTAGATTATCTTTATACAAGGTTATCAATGAAATAACAGAGATCAGTTCAGACTGTTGTGCCTTTCAGAATAAGACTTCACAGTCTAACTTGAGTTTGAAGATCTCTTTCGTATAATTTGAGAACCTTCAGAAGGGATAAACTCAATTACAGCTTGTTCTCTCTTGTTCCGCTGTCTTCTAAAAATGTAGAATTAAATCTGAAAGTAAAATATGTACTTAAGTGTTAAATGATTTACAATTTTTGAACACAAAGGTTGAATTTATTGTGCCTATGCACAAAAGGACTTTGACTTTTGTTTGCTGGAAATTATCATGAGGAGCCAAGGGCAGAAATGTACAGTCTTTTCAATATAGTTGCAATTAGCATTTGAAAATGTCAATTTCGGGTCCCAAAAAACATTGAGAGCTGACTGGATTAGTTATTTCATTCAGTCATATACTCACACTCATATTGATCTATGCTGGTGTCTGTGCTCCCCTTGAAGTCTTCTCTAAATCCTTCTTCAATTTATCCTTTAAGTACGAACTTCTATTACATTGCCCCTCATGTTGGTCCCCTTAAATGCTTCTATATTATTCAATGAACCTCTCCCTGCGATAACATTCTACATTCTCAACACTCTCTCGATAAAGACATTTCTCCTGATTTTCTCCCCCACCCACCACCCAATTGGATTTATAACAATTATCGTATATTTAGAGGTCGTATGGCATAGTGGGTTGTTTTTCAGCTTTTGAGTCAAAAGTTCTGTTTGGAATCCCACTCCAAGACTCAATGACCAGATGTGTTTGTAACATGGTCAGACAAGTGGAGAAGCAACCTGCGAAACTTTGCAACGTGTGTCAAGTGCAGGTAGTAAGGTCAGAGAGATTCCTGCTCAGCCTTATGATGGAAAGGATGCCTCTACCATCTCTACAGCTCCAGATTATAACATCTATGTAAAAGCGCATGTTACCACAGCAACCTGATTTCCCTGAGTGAAGGGTAACATGCTACCACTGTCTTATATTTATGACCCCTGGTTTTGTACTCCTATAAAAGTGAAAACACCTTCTCAATGTTTACCCTGTCAGACCCTGCCATTTGTTTAAAGTCTTCTTGAGAGTCATCTGGCCAAATAATGTTGAATACTGGTGATGCACAGTTAACTCTTATTCTTTGTGTGGAGAAGAACACAGAAAATCACAACAACAAAAATATGATTGGGCTGAAAACAGATTTATTTTTGAGGCCTCAGTCAACAATTCATTACTGAATATGCTAACAATTTTGCAATTTATTTCTATAGTCAGATAGCTTTCAGTGCAAAATATAGCAATATTTATTTAGATAGCAATTTATATTTGTAAAATTTATCTATATTTAATTGATACAAGACAGCATATAAATAATCTAAAATTCTGTAATATAGAAAAAAATAGAATACTCATTATTTCAACATTTAAGAGGGGATGATGGCTTAATGGTAATATCACTAAACTAGTAATCTGGAGATTCAGGTAGTGTTCTGGGAACCTGGGTTCAAATCCTGCCACGGCAGATGGTGGAATTTGAATTCAATAAAAATCTGGATTAAAAGTCTAATGATGACCATGAATGCATTGCAGATTGTCAGGAAAAACCCATCTGGTTCACTGATGTCCTTTAGGGAAGGAAATTGCTTTCCTTACCTGGTCTGGCCTATGTGTGACTCCAGACACACAGCAATGTGGTTGACTGTCAACCAGGCAATTAGGGATGGGCAATGAATGCTGGCCTGGCCAGTAATGCACAGATCCTGTGAATGAATTAAAAACAACTGCAGATTGGGCACATCTGGGGTATTTAACATGCATACATATGCAAGTGTAAATTACTCATCTATTCATTGACTCCAAAACCTTATATCAGAATTGGGCATGAGTGTGATTTTTCACATTGTTTAAAAATGTGTGATAAAGAAAAGAATGGCATAACCATTCACATTCACAACTTTTCCCATTACATGTTACATGTTAACTATATTCAAGACCTGTGAGTGTATTCATTGCCAGTAGCTGAACAAGGGCTGAAGAAGGGTCTAGGCCCGAAACGTCAGCCTTCCTGTTCCTCTGATGCTGCTTGGCCTGCTGTGTTCATCCAGCTCTACACCTTGTTATCTAAGGGTCTAAGCGCATTTTCCTAATCTCTTCCCAACTCCCTAAACTATTTGTTGCACCATGCCAAGGATGCTGGTACTTTAGTGAAGAAATATTAGTGCATATCCTAATCTTGGCTTATTTCTGGACAGGTTACTGTTAATTCTTATTTAATCTGCACTGTTTCCCATTCCTGTACTGGGTCCTTGTAGTTTGTGTGGCACAGGAATATAGCCACAGCCCATTAACCCACAAAAAGCCATTAGGTAAACACTTACATTCCATCTATAATTTTCCCATGAACAGAGACATAGACCATGGAAATGGAGGTAGCATTTAAATATAAATCGCTGGTCAGGCCTCAGCTGGACCTTTGCATCTAAATCTGGGCTTAGCCTTGGAAATGATGCAAATTTACTATAATGGGACCAGGGAAGAGGGACTTCTGCTGCAGGAGAGATTAGAGAATTTTGAATTACTCTCTCCAATACAGAGAAGAGCAAGTGAAGATTTAATGGCAGTGTTCAAACACGTGAAGGCTAATAGAGAAAATAAGGAGAAATTGTTTCCACTGGAAGGTTTTTGGTGACCAGAGGACACAAATTTAAATGGCAAAAATATCCAGACGGGAGATGAAGAGAATTTTGTTCACACAGGGATTTGTGTACGACCTGCAATGTGCTGCTTGAAAGGCCAGTGGAAGCAGCAGCAATAATAATGTTATGAGGGGAAAAATTGAATAAATATTGGAAGGGGAAATATCAGGAAGGGACAAGGAAACTGGGGCTAATTGGATAGCTTTCTCATAGTGTCAGCACAGTCTGATGGCCCAAATGGCTTCTTTTGTGCTGCATCATTCTATGAATGTATGAATGTTTGAGCTTTCTTCACCTGTTCTGAGGCAGCTCTTGAAAGCCAATGTTACTCAGCTGCCCTGGATTAGGGAGGTCCAACTCCTCTGATGCTTGATCGACCTTTTGTTAACCTTGACTGGAATATGTGTCTGTACTGGGAAAAGGATTCGTCCAGGATTGACGTATCTTTAATGCTGCCCAGTGCTTGGTTTCATAAGGTAATACTGGATGGTACTTATGGGCATGGTACGTCCAGAGAAACCCAAATTAAGTGGCAAAGAGGGAAAAATAGCTCTTGAGAAATATACGGATGGATTTTACAAGTAAATGGATGACAACATATACAAGTTCACTGACTTTCAAAAACCCAAATTGCAAATGTATCAATCATTGGGTGGCACTCTGCACTGAGGTCAAGTGATGGGATTTACCATGTATAGCCCTACCCTAACTACGAAAAAGCAGCTGATGAAGCAAAAATCATAACTGAGGCAGTAAGCAGCAATGATAACCCTTTTATAATAGATGTTTGCTGTGATTAAAAATATTATGCATTCACTGAGTGTTTCTGCCCCAGATTTAGGTACTATTATTGTTCTAGGCATTTGGGAAAGGCACCACTTTCTTGCCAGCCACATATACTTCCACCATGTTCCGGTCATCTCCTAAAAGAACATAAATATTAAATGAATTAAATGCAATCATAAACTTTCAAAATAAATGCTCTTTCTTTAATCCAACTTCTGACTTACTGATGCCCCTGATTCCCTTTGATACCCTCATAACGATTGTCAAATGTTACAGTTTTTTTTTTAGGGCTAGTTACTTAGATTTCCATTATCTTCCACTCTCCATAAAGTTAAGGTTCACCTGAATGCAATGGGTGAGTGGCCTCAATCTATCATGGTTAGTCCATGATTCGTCCAAACCTTCTGTTGCTACATGCCCTCATTCAAACCAAGTCTCTTTCAACCATCATCAATCAGCTCAGTGGTCTGGGCTGGCTCCTGAATCATGCTTCAATTTTAATATCTTCATCCTTGTTTCAGTCTTTTCCATGTTATCATCTTTTCCCTATCTCTGGAATCAAAAGCTTTGAGCTACTTAATTCTGATCCTTCCTGCATAGCCAATTCTAATCATCCACTAATGGCAGCTCTCTTTTCAAAATACCAAAAATAAAATTCCATGTTGCATCCTAAAACCTGGTCATGTTGGTGTTGTAGACTTCTGGGTCATGTAGACCTTTGGCATTCTGCATTTACTACTGTGCGAAATCTATGCACAAAATTGTGGACTGATCATAATACCATAAAAATTACGTTAGCGATTCAAGAAGAATCAGCTTCTCATTAATAATTAGAAACTAAAATAAGCAACATGTCACATCTACAACCCATGGGGTACCCCAGTATCGGTTTGGTCCTTGTACACAAACAGTTGCTTAATAATTGGAACTTGAATATTACCGAAAATAGAGAACTGTTGCCAAATTTTTTTTGTGACTTCAGTCTTACTAAATGGCTCATATTTGCTTGCTAGAAGTAATATATGCCGTCATATGCAGAGACTTGTTCTCCACAATCAAAAGGAATACGGTCAAGCCTTTTTCTTAAATTACCCAAAAACATGAGGTATCTTTTTATTTTTGCTAGCCCTTTTGCTTTCTCCATGGAAATGTCTTGGCCAATCTGTTTCCAACCTATAATCACCCTATGCTCCTGTAGATTATTGTGATTGTTTGAAATTTTCCATTCTTGTGTGATACGTGCAAGAATTAATGTTTCAGAAACATGTCTCTCTTTTAGCAAGATTCAAGTTTAGTTCTTATTAATCAAATAAGTTCTAGATTAGAAGACTTTCTCTGACCAAGCTCTATGTAGAGGGATTGCTTTATACTGTAGCATTCTAGAACATCAACATTTGATCAATAGCAAATATTTTTGAAGTTACTTAGGATTTATGTGAAAATTACAATAACATTTTGAACTCACCTAAGTTCAAGAACTTCTGGAAAATATCCTTGAAAATTAGAAGGAAGAATGTCAGTGAATTTTCACAACAATTAAGATATTGAAAGCATTCTTTCTGATCTGTGTTTTGAAATTAATGCATAATGTAGTTACCTCCTGCGTGTCATCAGGGAATATATCAAAAGGACTATTTGGGACATTGGTGTTGACAAGGATAGCGTCGAAGTCCTTCCCTACCTCAAAGTTTCCAGTCACGTTATCAAGGCCCAAAGCTGTAAAAAGCAAAGCAATTCTTCATTCATATACTTAATCTTGTATTCATATGATTCATAAAAGGGGTTACAGTTATGTAGACAGACTGGACAAATTGGGATTGTACACCTTACGGTGAAGAAAGTGAAGAGGAGCTTTGATCAAAATCAAATGTTTTGATAATGGCAATAAAGAGAAACCATTTGCAATAGCTCAAGAGTTGATAATTAAAGGACACAGATTTAAGGAGACTGGAAAAGGAACCAGAGGCAAAATGGAGTGAAAAACACACTTTTACGCAATGAATGGTCAGGATTCAGTAGAAAATTCCAAAAAGAAAAATGGATAAATAGTTTGAGAAAGAAAAATTATAGGAATTAGGGACTGAGTAGGGGAGTGGAAGTAATTGGATCATTCTTTGAGAGGGCTGGCACAAACTCAATGTGCCAAATAACCTTATTCTGTTCTATACCATTTTATAATTCAATAATTAGAAGACATAATGTTCAAAATATTGGGTACACTGACTGCTTCGTAATTCCAGAAGGTTTTCATTTCTGAGGCTCAGAACATAGAATACAAAAGTAAGATTAGGCCATTTGGCTCCTTGAGTGTTTTATTCACTCGTGAGATGAGGCTGTCACTGGTAGGGCCAGGATTTATTGCAATCATTCATTGCCCTTGAGAAAATGGTACTGAGCTGCCTTCTTGAACCACTGCAGTCCATGTGCTGTAGGTAGACCCACAATGCCTTTAGGAAAGGAATTCCAGACTTCGAACCAGCTACAGTGAAGTTGCAGCAATATATTTCCAGGTCAGGATGGTGACAGGCTTGGAGGGGAACTTGCAGGTGATCATATCCCCGTGTATCTGCTGCCCTTGTACTTCCAGATGGCAATGGTTGTGGGTTTGAAAGGGACTATCTAAGCAGATTTGGTGATTTTCTGCGGTGCATCTTATGGATAGTACACACTGCTGCTACTGAGCATCGGTGGTGGAGGGATTGGATGCTTGTAAATGTGGTGCCAATCAAGCAGGCTGCTTAGTCCTGGATGGTGTTCAGCTTCTTGGATATTGTTGGAGCTGCGCCCATCCAGGCAAGTGGGGAGCATTCCACCACACTCCTCACTTGTGCCTTGTAGATGGTAGACAGGCTTTGGAGAGTCAGGAGGTGAGTTACTTGCCGCAGTATTCATAGCCTCTCTGCCTTGTTTTTGTAGTACAACCTAAAGCTACTACAACCTCACTGTATTTATATGTCTAGCCCAGTTCAGTGTTCGGTTAAAGATTACCCAGGATGTTGACAATAAGGGATTCAGTGATGGTAATGCCTTTGAATATCAAGGGGCGATGGTTAGATTGTCTCAATAGAGATGTTCATAGCCTGGTACTTGTGTGGTGGAATAGTACTTGCCACTTTATAGCCCAAGCCTAGATATTGTCCAGGTCTTGCTGTATTTGGGCATGGACTACTTCAGTATCTGAGGAATCCTGAATGATGCTGCACATTGTGCAATCAGCAATGAACATTTCTGACCTTATTATGGAGGGAAAGTCAATGATGAAGCAGCTGAAGATAGTAGGGCCTAGGACACTACCCTTAGAAATTCCTGAAGCGATGTCCTGGAGCTGAGATGACTGACCTCCAACAACCACAACCATCTTCCTATGTGCCAGGTATGACTCCAACCAGAGGAGAGTTTGCCTCCTGACCCATTGATTCCAGTTTTGCTAGGGCTCCTTGATGCCAAGGTTGGTCAAACGCAGCCTTGGTATCAAGGGCTGTCACTCTTGTGTCTGTTAAGACTGTTCTGCCATTCAACTGGGTCATGGCTGATTGTCTATCTCAATGCCTTTTTTCCAAGCACTCCCTGAATGCCTTGTTGTCCTCAATATTTAAAAGTCTATCAATCTCTGTCATGAACATACTCAATGACTGAGCTAAACCATCCATCTGGAGTACAGATGTCCAAAGATTCAGTGCCACCTAAGTAAATAAATTTCTCTGAATCTCAGTCCTGTCTGATTATCCTTCATTCTGATGTTGTGCCTTCTCTGCATCTCCTGACCAATTCCTGAAATTGGAGGTGCAAGAGTGTTATCTGCAGAATGAGAGGAAGCAGCCTGAGAAGGTGTGATGGGACACTGAGGATTTGCTTGTTTTGTAGAAAAAGAGCAGTAATATTATGGGAGAATGAAGAAATGATTTGCATGAACACAGAGGATGTCTAGCAGGCCTGGCCATGGGTAACCTGTGTAATTACTTGCAGTGTTTGTTCTGCTCAATGAGTACTTGTTGTACAAAACTTAACCATTGGAGGTCACTCAATCAATTCTGGGGATGAAAGGTCAATGAATTAGCATACTGTTAAGCAATGAAAGCCATTCAGTAATTAACCCTGCTCTAAAACTTTGTACTCGATATTTCAGCATTCCTTTCCTCTTAGGTTGAAACACAAGGAATAAATAAAAAGTGAAGGGTAAGGCACGATCCAAAAGAGGACTTCAAAATAGTTCAGAGTCTTAACAGGGTAGATATACGGACAATCTTACTTATTGGGGTAAACAAGACCAGAAGGCATAAACATAAAATAGATACCAATATATCAAACAGGAAATTCAGGAGAAAATTCTTTACCTAGGGAATGGTGAGAAGGTGAAAGTTGTTATCACAGGGAGTGGTCAAGATCAAAAAATAGTACAGACTCATTGAAGGGAAAGCTAGATAAGCACGTAATAGGAAAAGGAAGAGAAAGATACGCTTAAGAACTGTGATCAAGTAGGGTGGGAGGAAGTGAGTGCAAATATCAGTATAGACAGATTGGGTTGAATAGCCTGCAAATGCAGCTGAACAATTCCACTATAATTATTGAATATTTTGTTAAATTAAAGATTTAGTTTTATGATGTTTAGTAATGGTTTCCTACCTTGACATCCACCAAGAGTAGCGAGCTTAAATATTTCCTGGTATGAAAGCCTTTCATAATTGGAAGTTTGAAAGCTATGAATTTTGATCGTATCAATTGCAGTTCGCATTGCATTAAGTATAGACGGAGAGTAGCCACCTGAAACATCTAAAAAAGATATTAATAACAGTTATCATAGTTCTGCAAGAATAGCTGAGTGAGTACATGAGGGAATATCTTTAACATTTCCACCAAAACCAACATGTATCAAACTGGTGGGTGATCTTGAGAGGTGAAATGGGTATGGGATTTATTCTGCCATCTCCCTACTTCACCTTTCCATACCATTCCCTCCCTGGTTGCAAACCCTGTTTGGGCGTGTTCCTGGAAGTGTCATCATTGTCATTCTCCAATTTCCAATACATACTCCCAGTGGGAGACTCTTTGTATCTGGATCACAAATATTCAACCATGTGTGGACTTCCCTCAAACATAAAAGAAACATAATTTTGTATCACCAGATCCACTTCCAAAGCATAGTACACTTCATGAACTGCTAAGTGCTAAATATCCTGAAAAGTGCTAGAGAAATATAAGCTCATGCCTCCTTCTTCCCTCCTCTCCCTTGTCTTCCTTCATTCTCTCATCTCCCAGCTCCATCTATCCGTCATTCTCTCATCTCTCCTTTCTTTCTTTCTTCCGAATACCTGATGGACATGTGGGAGTTCATCCTGAGCTCATTAAAGAAATTTGAATAAAGAAGCAAAACCTTTTCTCCCGCCTGAACTCCTGTCAACTGCATCGGATGTTTTACTATGTGTAAGTGCTACCTTCTTGTTGTCTCAGCTGTTTGATTACAGCTTGGAGATAAACCTCAGTTATTCATCTCCAACACCCTGTCTACACTGAGGATAATGACTATTTCTGCTTCTTGCACTCCCAGTGCTCCTTTATCCTACCTTAACAACACCTCCTTCACATTTGGCTTCTCCTACCCAGAGACAGTCATCCACAGGGGATGAGGAGACAAACATTGGCTCTGACAGAATGTTCCAAGACAAAATCGTGAGTCCTTTTTGATCAGAATCACACATAGCAGCCCAGAGGGGCAAGGATATGGACTAGAACAGTATACAGAATCCTGCTTTCCAACACTTGGGATCTATTTAGGGAGCCCCCAGGGAGGGAAAATCAATGAAAACTGTTAGAAAACTGCAACTGGGTCCACTTGCTCTCTAACCAGAGTAATTGCTCTCTGCTGTGATAAAGAAGAACTGCCAAATCTAACTAGAAATAACTTTGTGCACCAATATACCAGCAGATCTTGGCTTTGACCCAGTCGTGATTCAATTGCGATTTTGCAGGTAACCGGTGAACTTGAGACTGACTGCTTGGCTCAACCTCACCTACTCACCTACTCACCTAGACTCACTCACTCAGCCACCACCCTCAATCATTTAATCACCCAACCTTACTGAGTCCATTCACCTAACTCACACATCTGCAGTCATTCTCACACAGTCACCAACACCCTCAATCAATACTAGGAGACAGCAGAGTGGCCTGAAACATGCGGCCAGCACAGTCCGAGTACACCTTCAGAGACAGTGCATGGCTGGGGGAGGGAGGGGGAGGAGGTAGCCATGCAGGGTCAGCGATTGCAGCCACAGGACCATTCAGTAGGCTTTGTTTTTACTTTCAGTTCAGTGACTGGTTGCTGCCGGCGAGACAAAGATGGCACCAGCTGTAGAAACCACTCCCCTCCTCCCTCCACCTCAGTTCCCAGAACCCATTGGCTGGCAGCTGGTTTGGTGTACATTGGTGACCCTGTGCCCACCGTGTGGAATCAGATCTCCTGCTGTTTCCGATTGTCTGGAGGTGAGGGAGGCTGCGAGATGAGTGATGGGTGTGGATGGCTCTGAGTGGGGGCACCTAGTCTAAATTGAAGTCTGGAAGCATGAGACAGGGCGAGGGAGAAGGATAGGGAGAGAAGGAGACAGAGAGGGAGGGAGGTATGGAAGGAGAGGGAGGTGGAGGAGAGATGGAAGGAGATATGGAGGGATAAAGGGTAAGGGGGTGAAGGAAGGAGAGAGTGAAGGAGGGAGGTGGAGGAGAGAGAGAGAGAGGGAACAGGAAGAGAGAGTGAGGGAGGGATTGAGGGAAGAAGGGAAGGAGATGGAGGGAGAAAGGGAGGAAGAGATGCTGAGAAAGGGAGGGAGCGAGAGAGATAGGGAGGAAGGAAGAAAGAAGGGAGAGAGAAGTTTAAGCCTGCAATCAACTTTAAAAATCTGCAGTTAAGTCTCCAGCGTACTAAGAAACTTATTTTAATTTTTGTATATTTTCTTGGTAGTAATTTATGGTAAAATACAGTATGGAGGAAGGAGAAAGAGGTTTCATTAATCAACAATCCATAAAGACCTGCATTATGGTGGGATGTTCATTATGTTTCCTTGTATTTTCTTTGCAGAAGTTTGTGAAGAATTACAGGGATGGTAGGGAGGGATGAGTGGGTTCCAGTGAAATCCAGGCAAATGTGTAGTGGATACTCTGAGCCCCCAAGCAACAGTTGACCAGAACAAACAAAGAAAAATCCGAAGGTAGGAAACGCCAAAGTGGAATATCTCGAACTAATAAATGTCAAATACTGCAGATGCTGGAAATCTGAAAAAAAAAAACATAGAAAATGCTGCAGAAGTGCAGCAAGTTTGGCAGCATCTGTGGAGAGAGAAACAATTAACGTTTCAAACAGAAACAAAGTTGCTGGAAAAGCTCAGCAGGTCTGGCAGCATCTG